AACTGAAAACAGTTTTCGGATCATAACTTAAGTTTTATTTGGCCCACTGTGTTTAAACTTCATAGTATGATTGTCCATATTGGGTAGAAGACCCCTATTGATTTTAGGGTCACAAGGTCAAAGTCACTATTACCTTAGAACTGAAAACAGTTTCCAGGGCATAACTTAAGTTCCATTTGGACCACAATATTGAAACTTCAAAGGAGGATTTTTATTTGAAGGAGGTAATACTTTATTTAATTCACATGTCTTACAAATTCTTCATCTTTACTATAAAAAAAAAATCACTTTCGGGCATATAATGCTCCGCCTAGCGGTGCTCTTGTTAGAAAAATCTTGTCCAGGACATAACTCTAATACTATAAGAGATATCAACTTGAAACTTTGTAGGTAAATAGATTTCAATGGTTAAATGTGCAGTGCATAAGAACCATAACCTGTTTTAGCCTAATTTTAGAGTTATTGTCCTTTGTTAATTTTAAACTTTGATCTTTGTCCGGAACATAACTCTAAAACTACAAGAGATATCAACATAAATCATTGTCGGTAGATAGATCTCATTGAGTAGAAGTGCAGTGCAAAAGAACCATAACTCTGTTAAGTCTCATTTTTGAATTATCTCCCCTTTTAGAAAAACCTTGTCAGGACATAGCTGTAAAACTATAAGAGATATCAACATGAAACTTTGTAGGTAAATAGATCTCGATGGGTAGATGTGCAGTGCACAAAAATCATAACTCTGCTAGATCTCGATGGGTAGATGTGCAGTGCACAAAAATCATAACTCTGCCTTGCCTAATTTTGGAGTTATTGTCCTTTGTTTTTTTTTAGCTCACCTGTCACAAAGTGACAGGGTGAGCTTTTGTGATCGCTTTTCGTCCGGCGTCCGGCGTCCGTCCGGCGTCCGTAAACTTTTACTTTAAATGACATCTCCTCATAAACCACTAAGCCAATTTCATCCAAACTTCACAGGAATGTTCTTTTGGTGGTCACCTTTAAAAATTGTTCAAAGAATTTAATTCCATGCAGAACTCTGGTTGCCATGGCAACCAAAAGAAAAAACTTTAAATATCTTCTTCTAAAAAACCCAAAGAGCTAAAGCTTAGATATATGGCATGAAACATCTTCTAGTGAGTGTCTACTAAGTTTGTTCAAATAAAAGCCCTGGGGTCAAAATTGGCCCCTCTTGAGGGGGTCATTGATTTTCCCAATATGCATAAAGTAAAAACTTAAAAAATCTTCTTTTAAAGAACCCAAAGAGCTAGAGCTTAGATATTTAGCAAGAAACATCTTCTAATGGGTGTCTACGAAGTTTGTTCAAATAAAAGCCCAGGGGTCAAAATTGGCCCTGCCCCAGGGGGTCATTGATTTTCACTATATGCATATAGTAAAAACTTAAAAAATCTTCTTTTAAAGAACCCAAAGAGCTAGAGCTTAGATTTTTGGCATGAAACATCTTCTGGTGAGTGTCTACCAAGTTTGTTCAAATAAAAGCCCTGGGGTCAAAATTGGCCCCACCCCAGGGGGTCATTGATTTTCCCTATATACATATAGTAAAAACTTAAAAAATCTTCTTTTAAAGAACCCAAAGAGCTAGAGCTTAGATATTTAGCATGAAACATCTTCTAATGGGTGTCTACCAAGTTTGTTCAAATAAAAGCCCTGGGGTCAAAATTGGCCCGCCCCAGGGAGTCATTGATTTTCCCTATATGCATATAGTAAAAACTTAAAAGACTTCTTTTAAAGAACCAAAAGAGCTAGAGCTAAGATATTTAGCATGAAACATCTTCTAATGGATGTCTACGAAGTTTGTTCAAATAAGGGGTCAGGGGTCAAAATTGGCCCCGCCCCAGGGGGTCATTGATTTTCCCTATATACATATAGTAAAAACTTAAAAAATCTTCTTTTAAAGAACCCCAAGAGCTAGAGCTAAGATATTTAGCATGAAACATCTTCTAATGGGTTTCTACCAAGTTTGTTCAAATAAAAGCCCTGGTGTCAAAATTGGCCCCGCCCCAGGGGGTCATTGATTTTCCCTATATGCATATAGTAAAAACTTAAAAAATCTTCTTTTAAAGAACCCAAAGAGCTAGAGCTAAGATATTTAGCATGAAACATCTTCTAATGGATGTCTACCAAGTTTGTTCAAATAAAAGCCCTGGGGTCAAAATTGGCCCCGCCCCAGGGGGTCATTGATTTTCCCTATATACATATAGTAAAAACTTTATAAAATCTTCTTTTATAGAACCAAAAGAGCTAGAGCTAAGATATTTAGCATGAAACATCTTCTAATGGATGTCTACCAAGATTGTTCAAATAAAAGCCCTGGGGTCAAAGTTGGCCCCACCCCAGGGGGTCATTGATTTTCCATTTATACATATAGTAAAAACTTAAAAAATCTTCTTTTAAAGAACCCAAAGAGCTAGAGCTAAGATATTTAGCATGAAACATTTTCTAATGGGTGTCTACCAAGTTTGTTCAAATAAAAGCCCTGGGGTCAAAATTGGCCCTGCCCCAGGTGGTCATTGATTTTCCCTATATACATATAGTAAAAACTTAAAAAATCTTCTTTTAAAGAACCAAAAGAGCTAGAGCTAAGATATTTAGCATGAAACATCTTCTAATGGATGTCTACCAAGTTTGTTCAAATAAAGGCCCTGGGGTCAAAATTGGCCCCGCCCTGGAGGTCATTGATTTTCCCTATATGTGTAAAACTATAGCAAAAATTAAAAAATATTCTTTGAAAAAACTCAAATAGCAAGAGTTTAGATATTAAGCATGAAGCATCTTCTAGTGAGTGTCTTCAAAGTGTGTTCAAATAGAAGCCCTGGAGTCAAAATTGGCCCCGCCCCGGGGGACATTGATTTTCCTTATACAAGTATAGCAAAAACTTAAAAATCTTCTTTTAAAAAACCCGAATAGCTAGAGTTTAGATATTTAGCATGAAACATTTTCTAGTAAGTGTCTACAAAGATTGTTCAAATAAAAGCCCTGGGGTCAAAACTGGCCTGCCCCAGGTGTGTCATTGTTTTTAACTATATGTGTAAAGAAAAAAACTTACAAAAATCTTCTTTTAAAATCCCAACGAGCTAGACCTTAGATGTTTAGCATGAAACATCTTCTAATGGTTGTCTACAAAGTTTGTTCAAATAAAAGCCCCAGGCTTTAAACTGGCCTTGCTCCGGGGGCCTATGTACAGGTGAGCGACTTCAGGGCCATCATGGCCCTCTTGTTAATTTTTGAACTTTGTCTGGGACATTACTCTAAAATTATAAGAGGTATCAACATGAAACTTTGTTGGTAGATAGATCACATTGAGTTACAAAAAAGAACATAACTCTGTTTTGCCCAATTTGTGAATTATCTCCCCTTTTAAAAAAATCTTGTCTGGGAAATAACTCATTTTTACGTTTTGAACTTTGTCCGTGACATAACTCGGAAACCATAAGAGGTATCAACAAGAATTTTTGTAAGTTGATAGATTGCATTGATTAGAAGAACAGTACAAAAAAACATAACTCTGTTTTACCCAATTTGTGAATTATCTCCCCTTTTAAAAAAATATTGTCTGGAAAATTACTCTAAAACTACAAGAGATATCAACATGAAACTTTGTAGGTAGATAGATCTCAATGGGTAGATGTGCAGTGCACAAGAAATTGAAATTTTGTAGTTATTGCCCTTTGTTCAGTTACTCTGCCTTGCCTAATTTTGGAATTATTGCACTTTAAACTTTTTCCAAGGACATTACTTTGAAACTACAAGAGGTGTACTTTCCTGTGTCCAAAACCTATTTGGGACCATCACCCGGCTCAAACCGGGCTCTTGTTTAATATAAAAAATTATACTAAAAATCATATATTGGTAATTAATCATAACTATATCAGTGAGATACATGCCATATATATAGAAACTAGCACATGAACTCATAGGCTGCACAAGTATGGATATGATGCAAGTGAATATTGAAAAACCTTGCCTTTCTCTATAGTTTCATGTACAAATTTACATGTATTTTCATCAGGGGGCAGGGAATTCTCAGAACCTTTCTTTAATTTTACTGAAATAATGCATTGTGACAAATCAGAGGTCTTCAATAAGTTGCCACTTGACTGTGTAAAAGTGATACCAAATAAAATCAAAATATGGTTATATTGAATTTTTATGCCCCCGCCATAAATTGGCAGGGGCATATATTGTTACCATGTTTCCTCCTTCCGTCTTTGTGTCATCATCAGTTTCAGTTCATTATCTCCCCAACAGTAGTACACATTCACTCAAATTTGACGTATGGATATGTCAAAGGAATGTACAGGTCAAGTTCAAATTTGGTCATGGTTCGATGATATTTGGCTGTTTGGAGTTATGCTCCTTTCACTTTGAAAATAATATTAAATTTTCAGTTCCCGTTCATTATCTCCCCAACGGTATTACACATTCAGCTCAAATTTAACATATGGATAATATTATGTCATAAGAATACACTGGTCAAGTTTGTATTTGGTCACGGTTTGATAGAAAAATCTTAAATTTTTAGTTTCCGTTCATTATCTCCCCAATGGTTGTACACATTCAACTCAAATTTATATATAGATATATCTTAGGAAAAAGCAGTTCAGGTTTAAATTTGGTCGTGATTCAATGATTTTAGACAAAGTTATCTCTCTTGAATGTTTGAAAAATTTTGAATTTTCAGTTTCAGCACTCATACTTTTGTGGAAATGTATGTAGTCAATGCAATTTACAAAAGGTTAACACTTAATAGTTTCAGTTCCTTGAACTTTGTATCAAAAATGGTTTGTGTTTACATGGAATAGTTTTAAGGGCTTTGAACTTAAAATGAAAAAAAGATAGTTTGTGCAAACAAATTTGGAACTAAATATTATAACATCTGAAATTTTGGATTCATGCGGGGGGCATCCATGGCGTGACAACACTATTCTAGTTTATATTTTAAAAAAAATGATAATTTATCTGATATTTACATGTTTTATTTTAAGGGTTGCATGAATAATATAACATTTGGTGACAATGAGTTTGGTCATTATGAAACAGTTGCAGGCGGTGCAGGGGCTGTAAGTTTTTTTACTCTTATTTGTTTAGCTCAACTTTTTTTACAAAGAAAAAAAAGAAAGATATTGTTCCCGTTTGCAAACTTTAATCTTGATCATGATTTTATTGTCTTCATACTTGGCCAAAAAAGACCTTGAAGGTCAAATTATTGAAATTTTCTTTCTTTTGCTGTAACTGGCTATGAATTGATTGAATTGATATTTAGATACCGCCTTCTTAGGATAAGACCTTCATGCATATTAAACTCAAATTGACTTTGGGTCGTTTATGACCTTGACATTGAGAGTTAAATTGTTGAATTTTTATTGATTTTTGCTGTAATTGACTGCAACTTGGTAAGTAATGAATGGATTTTATTAATTATAACATAATTATAGGGGTTACTTTTGTCATTGGCGTGCATATTGTTGCCTTGTCTAGGTCAGACACTTCAACACAGAGTTATGGCCCTTTTTAGTTATGCAGTATGCATATAGAGCAGTAATTGTTTTCTCTCTCTTTCCCTGCATTTACTGGCTGGAATTCAATAAAACTTTATTGGAACAATCAATACCAAGGGGAGTCGATGCGCATATCATTGCCTTGTTCCAATCAGAGCCTTTAAGACAATTAGTAAGTTTTGCAGTATGCTGGATTGATTTCAACAAGACTTTATGGGAATCTTCAATACGAAAAAGAAATTTGCATGCCATGATAAATTTATATAGATAAAGCCTTTTTTCCAGTTGTTGTGTTATTAATAACCAGTATTTGGCGGGGGATATAAATTCAAAGAATTTGCTTGTTACTCTATATAATTTTTATACATAATTTCTGTCCCGGCCATTTCTCATAAGCTATAAAAGCTATGGACTTGAAACTTCACAGTATGATAGATCTCATAAGTTCAAAAACTGGTACTCTGCACTCCTTATTTTTTTAGCTCACCTGAGCACGAAGTGCTCAAAGGTGAGCTTTTGTCATCACTCTGCATCCGTCGTGCGTCTTGCGTCGTGCGTCCTTCAAAAAATGGCGTCAAACTTTTCAAACAACATCTCCTCCTAAACTACATGGCCAATTGCAACCAAACTTTACAGAAATGATCCTTAGGTGGACCCCTTTCAAAGTTGTTCAAAAATTTAAATTCCATTAAAAACTCTGGTTGCCATGGCAACCAATAAGAAAAACTTAAAAAATCTTCTTCTAAAAAACCCTAAGAGCTAGAGCTAAGATATTTGTCATGAAACATCTTCTAATGAGTGCCTACCAAGTTTGTTCAAATCAAAGCCCTAGGGTCAAAATTGGCCCCGCCCCAGGGGGTCATTGATTTTCCCTATATGCATATATTAAAAACTTAAAAAATCTTTAAAGAACTCAAAGAGCTAGAGCTAAGATATTTAGCATGAAACATGTTCTAATGGATGTCTACCAAGTTTGTTCAAATAAAAGCCCTGGGGTCAAAATTGGCCCCGCCCCGGGGGTCATTGATTTTCCTTATATGACTGTGTATAGCAAAAACTTAAAAATCTTTTTTGAAAAAACCCAGATAGCTAGAGTTTAGATATAAAGCATGAAACATCTTCTAGTGAGTGTCAACCAAGTTTGTTCAAATAAAAGCCCTAGGGTCAAAATTGGCCCGCCGCAGGGTGTCTTTGATTTTCCCTATATGCATATAGTAAAAACTTAAAAAATCTTCTTTTAAAGAACCCAAAGAGCTAGAGCTAAGATATTTAGCTTGAAACATTTTCTAATGAGTGTCTACAAAGTTTGTTCAAATAAAAGCCCTAGGGTCAAAATTGGCCCCGCCCCAGGGGGTCATTGATTTTCCCTATGTGCATATAGTAAAAACTTAAAAAATCTTCTTTTAAAGAACTCAAAGAATTAGAGCTAAGATATTTAGCATTAAAACATGTTCTCATGGGTGTCTACCAAGTTTGTGCAAATAAAAGCCCTGGGGTCAAAATTGGTCCCGCCCCGGGGGCCATTCATTAGCTCGACTTTTTTTTTTTTTTAGATATATACATATTATATATATACATATATATTTAATATTTATATATATATATATATATATGTATATAGATATATATACATATTATGTATATATATATATGATATATATATGTATGTATATATATATATATATATATATATATATATACATACATACATACATATAAATACATATATATATATATAATACCTATATATATATATATATATATATATATATATATATATATATATATATATATATATATATATAGTATATATAAAGGGAGATATTCTCTCATTTCTATATATTATATAGTATATATATATATATATATACATGCATACATATACAACCAAGTTTGTTCAAATAAAAGCCCTGGGGTTTAAACTGGCCCCGCTTCAGGGGCCTATATACAGGTGAGCGACTTTGGGCCATCATGGCCCTCTTGTTATTTATTGCCCTTTGTAAATTTTCATATATCATTTTTGTCGGGCCATTTCTCCTAAACTATAAAAGCTATAAACTATAAAACTATTGATCTTATTGATAAGAAGTGTAGTGCACAAAAACTGGCACTCTGCACTCCTTACTTTTTGATTTATTGCCCTTTGTAAATTTCCATATTTCCTTTTTGTCCGGGCCATTTCTCCTAAACTATAAAAGCTATGGACATGAAACTTTATAGAATGATAGATATCATTGAGAAGAAGTGCAGTGCACAAGAACTGATACTCTGTACTTCATGATTTTAGAGTTATAGCCCTTTGTTAATAATGATACTTTATTTTTGTGCAGGCCAATTCTCCTACACTTTAAAAGCTATTGACTTGAAACTTCATAGGATGATAGAACTCATTGAGAAGATTTCAGTGCAGTGCACAAAAACTTGAACTCTGCACTTCATGATTCTTGAGTTTTTGCCCTCTGTTAATTTTCTTACTTAATAGGTTTGTCCAGAGCATTATTTGGTCACTTTTTTTTTATTGACTCCAAATTTGATATGCAAGTGCAATGCTTAAGAATTTATCACAGAGTCCTCCATTTGATCTGTCAGTGTAAAACTTTTGTAAAAGTTATCACTCGTCAAGCAGGATTAAGAGTATTAATATTGAATATATACTAACTGTCACTTTGATAACGCAGTTAGTAAAAATGTTATTTTTATGCCACTGCAGCATCTGAGATGTGGTGGATTATAGCATCACCTGTGTGTGTGTGTTTGTGTATGTGTGTATGTATGTATGTAGTGAAATTCAAAAATCTTCTTGTGAAAAACCACTAGTCCAATTTCAACCAAACTCGGCAGGATTGATCCTAGGGTGAAGGGCTTCCAAAGTTGTTCAAAGAATTTCATTCTGTGCAGAAATCTGGTTGCCATGGCAACCAAGAGGATTTATAAGAATAAATTTAAAAAATCTAATTGTAAAGACCCACAAGGCCTAGAGCAAAGATATTTTTCATAAGGAATTGTCTGGTAGACCTCTACCAAGATTGTTAAAATTATAGCCCTGGGCTCAAAATTGGCCCTGTCCTGGGGGTCATTGATTTTCACTATATGTACATATAGTAAAAACTTTAAATACCTTCTTGTCTGAAGGTACAAGGCTTAGGACTTTGATATTTAGTATATGATATCATCTATAGGTACTGTACCAAAGATCTTCAAATTTGCCTCTAGTGTCAAAATTAGACTTGCCCAGGGGTCATAGGTTTTCCTTATATGTATATAGTTAAAACTTAAAAAATCATCTTCTCGAAATTGACAAATGCTAGAGGTTAGATATTTTGCATGAAACATTGTTTAGTGAACCTCTAACAAGATTATTCAAACAAGAATTTGTAACAGAGTTACCAACGTCCCCCGCCTTGGGGCAGTTTTATATGAAGCATAAAATTGTGCTATTTCAAGAGATTGAGGTATGGATCTCAGGACTTTCAGTCCAAAATTAAGATCAATGCTAGATCTGCAAACACAACAATAAATTTATTAAAGAAATAAAATGCAACACGGAATTTAAAAATCTATAATGTTAAGCTTTGACCTCTAAGTGTGACCTTGACCTTTGAGGGAGGGGTACAGGTGTGATGCATGACATATCGTCTTATTATTGTAACTATTTGTGCCAAGTAAGTGTGACCTTGGAGGTAGGGACCCATGTTTTGCGCCTGACATATTGTCTTATTATTGTGATTATGTGTGCAAAGTATTTTTAAAATCCCTTGATCTATGAAAAAGTTATGGACTGGACACAAAATATACCCTATAACAGACTATGTAAATCTTTTACCTCTAAATGTGACCTTGACCTTGAAGGTAGGGACACTGGTGTTACCCATGACATATCATGTTACGATATATCAAGTACAACACCTGCACCCCTACCTCCAAGGTCAAGGTCACACTTAGAGGTCAAAAGTTAACAGAGTCTGTTATATGGTATATTTTATGTCATGAAACTTTGTAGGTAGGTAGATCTCATTGGGTTTAAGTGCAGTGTAATAGAACCATAACCCTGTCAAGCCTAATTTTTGAGTATAATTGCCCTTTGTTCATTTTTACACTTTGAATTGTATCAGGGACATAACTCTTAAAATATATATACATGAGATATCAACATGAAACTTTGTAGGTAGATAGATCTCATTGGGTAGAAGTGCAATGCAAATGAACCATAACTCTGTCTAGCCTAATTTTTGAGTTATTGCCCTTTGTTTATTTTTACACTTTGTCCGGGACATGACTCAAAAACTATAAGAGATATCAACATGAAACTTTGTAGGTAAATTGATCTCATTAAATAGAAGTGCAGTGCAAAAGAATCATAACTCTGCCTTGTTTAATTTTTTTTAGTTATTGCCCTTAGTTCATTTTTACACTTTGAACTTTGTCTGTGACATAACTCTGACACTTCATGAGGTATATTTTCCTGTGTCCAAAACTTATTGGGGGAGTATCAGCCGGTTCAACCGGTTCTTAATTTTGTCTTGTTTAAATGACAAATTCCGCCAGGTAAAAGAATAACAACA